CGGAAGCCTTGATTGCAAACTTCGGCATGCAGTAACCTGGCTGTCTGTCTTTTGTTCCTGCCCGCCCGCATTCCGCCCAGTGCCATGCTGACTATGGGTATGGGACAATATGTCTCGGGAGCACAGCTGCAATATCAGCTACGGCTTCTTCTACAGCTTGCGGCCCTTGACAACAGACCGAGCAGCGAGAGATGCACAAATCAGACGTGCATGAAGCAGTGAGGGCTTTGCACTAGGGAGCGCAATGTAATCATAGTAGCACTTGTGCAGATTTGATGAAATGAAGCGCTTTTCTGCTGCATGAAACCTCAAGGGTTTTGTCAGCCCACCCACTTTCCACCCTGGGACAATATGTCTCGGGAGCACAGCTGCAATATCAGCTACGGCTTCTTCTACAGCTTGCGGCCCTTGACAACAGACCGAGCAGCGAGAGATGCACAAATCAGACGTGCATGAAGCAGTGAGGGCTTTGCACTAGGGAGCGCAATGTAATCATTATAGCGCTGAGGCCTTACTTAGGACCCACAGCCCAGAGCGCAAGCCAGACCCTATATGCTAGACCACGAAGATCCCGCAGAGAGGCCGGAATGGTGTCTTCCGCATCGTCATTGCCCAGGTAGATGGGAGGCGCTTTGGTGACCAGACGGGATAATGGAACTGGGTGAAGAGTCTCCACACTCTACTTGTTGTCTGCTTCGATGTCGCGCGCAGACAGGTCGGGAGCCAGTCGCCGTGTTCTGTGACCACATGCAAGTCGATCTTGGAGCTCAATTACACTCCCTACAAAGCCATCAAAAGCGCATCTCTTCATAGACACTTCCGAAACAGCCCGAAGGTTATCCTGAACGCAAATCCAGCATTCTAGCTCCGTCTAGTGTTAGCAGCCAGCACAATCCTGCACGTCTCAGCGACGGCCCTCTGCTGTCTACACCCCGAAAGCCATCAGCCTTCCTTCCCTCCGCTAAACCCACAGTCGTAAACTTAGTAAACTTAATCCCATGGTTGGGATCTATGGCGAGTAATACGGTGTCCGTAGTCTTTCATGTTTTTGAAGTTCCTTACCAAGAACGACGAAACCCCAGACCCCAAGAGCCCCGGAAGGACGGCACCTCTGCAGGGGGCATCATTTCCTGGGCCGTGGAGCCTGCATCCTTGAGCCTGCGGGAGGGCTTTGAGGCCATCTCTACCTAGAGGACCATGGGGCTTAGTAACTAGGTTTAATAAGTCGGTTTAGGGTTAAGGGTTAAGGCTTGCGGTCTTTATGAGATGTGCGAATTGAGGTATCTACCCTTGTAACTACTTATAGCCCCAACTAAAGTACTTGTAGCCTTGCATCGTTACTCCCAGGATCCTCCAAGCCTCCCAGGACACATTTGTGCACACTTACACACATGCGCCAAGCCTCCAAGTACGCATCGGTACACACACACACACAAACACACACAAACACACACACACACACACACACATATGCGCAGCTGCATGCAGACATCATATTGCTATGACCTTCTTCATGAAGATGTGTATATTAGCAAGTACACGTTTACGTGATGATATGAGCCGTATTTATTTATCTACCTAGCTATCTGTCTATCTTTCTGTCCGTCCCTCGGTCCGTGGCTTCGTCTGTCTATCTATCCATCTATATCTAGCCATGTATCTATCCATTGTGCGTAGATTGAGGGTAGGTATGGGTGTAGAGCCTTAAACCCTCAACTGCGGGCGCGGTATAGGCGTGGGCTTCAGAGTCGATCTGCATGCGCTGAAGTTGATGCTTGTCAGTGATAGAAGTTCAGGATCCGATGTCTGATTGAGGATTAGGAATATAGGGGTTCGTCCTACAAAGCCCGCCTTTGAACCCTAAGCTCGACCCTTACTCCCAAAATGCCAAAGCCCTGTGAGCCCTACAGACCCTGTACCCTGCGCCTTCAATATATACAATATAATATATATATATATATAATACAATATAATCGTTAATATAATATAATTAAAAAAATATAATATGATATCTGAACCTGTGTGAGGTGTGCTTCCGCGATGAGCCGGGGCCGACTAGCGCTGATGATGAGGACGAACTGGCGAAATGGCGAAACGGGATAGAGTTTGGGGTTAAAGTGCAGGCATGGGATTGGGTAGTAGCAGGGCTTGCTGTTTTGAGGCTTAGAGGGTTTATAGTTTACTGATGATTGGCGCATGCACAGTGGGAACTGGGACGGGCTCATCATCATGACTGCTTTTGCCTCCTATGTTGCTGTGGAGCAGACCCAATTTCTTCCTGAAGCTGGTCTGACCATCGAGCTTCATGTCGTGCCAGACGCGGCACTTTTGCAAACACCAGTTTGTAGTAATTTGAATCCCACACGAAGCCCCAAATCCTGTAAACTTTAAGGCCCCTAAACTCGAACTCCTAAACCCTGAATCCTGTAAACCCTAAGCCCCACTCGGGATCCTAATCCTTAAGTCCTACAACCCTCCAAAGCCCCTTGCGCTCGAAATCCTAAGCCCTTAACCCCCGTTGCTCGCGGGAATTCAAGCACAGAGCCGGCTCCGGAGCGGTGCCCTGATATAGGGGCTGGAAAATTAGGCAATATTGCACCCGCGTAGTCCCTTTTAGCAGCATCTTTGTTATTGCTGTTGTCTATTCTCACTACTGTTCATATTCTGGTTATGATGATTACTAGTAGTAGTGGTGGTGGTAGCGGTAGTGGTAGTAGTGGTAGTGGCAGTGGTAGTGGTAGTAGTAGTAGTAGTAGTAGTAGTAGTAGCAGTAGTAGTAGTAGTAGTGGTAGTAGCGGAGGAGAAGGGGCAGGCGGAGGAGGAGGAGGAGGAGTAGCAAGTAGTCGCAGTCGCAGCATTGCTCTTACCGTTGGTATTATTCTGATTACAGTAAGATGTGCGCCAACCACCATGCTAAACCCCAATTCCCCTAAAGAATAGGTACTGTCCGTACTATCTGTCGCAGAGCAACGGCTTGCAGTAGCATGGCGAGCTCAATTTCAAGTCTCTGACATCAAAGTAGTCAATCGCGCCCCACAGTCCCTGACATGCACGCTTGAAGCGGAGGACCTTCCCGATCGCACGGACTCAGACTTCGTGCCCTCGGTTGCACTTCAACACGGAGCATCCTAAGCTTGACACTGAACCCCCAAACATTATCGGCTCGACTCCGCCCCCGTCTGATCTTGGTTGTTACACAGGTTCTATACGGAGGCTTTGGAGGTTTTATGGGGCTGCGGGGCCTTGGAAGCTTGAGGGCAAGCCCACTCGCATCAAAAGGTCATCAACTTCCGCCGTGGCGCCGATGCCTGGCACTTTACTGCCTCATGGCAGCAAAAGGCGAGTTTCTGGGGGCTTGTCAGCAACTTCGAGGAGTTCTTGCACCCTAAACCCCAGACCCGAAACCTCCAAACCCTAAACCCTGAACCCCTAAACCATAAACCCTAAACCCCTAAACCCTAAACCCTAAACCCCTAAACCCTAAAACCCTAAACTCCTAAACCCTAAACCCTATCAACTCTTTCAGGCCCTCACTGAGCCATGAAATCCTCGAGCCTTTGCTGCCGAGGCCGGCACCCGGAACCGGCCCGGGCCCCAGAAAAGACTACTTTGGGGGGTTCCTTCTTGTAGGTTTAGGGTTTAGGGTTTAGGGTTTAGGGTTTAGGGTTGGGGTTCCTTATTGTAGGTATGTTATAATATACCCCAAAACCATATTCTAAATATGAAGGCCTTATATTGGCAATCATAAATAGGGTTTAGGGATCAGGGCTTAGGGTTCAGGGTGTGCTCACGTCATGGCTGCTATGATGTGCTAAGCAAACCCAGGCCGTTCGCACCCTGCGTAACCAGCAGGCCACCCGAAAAGATCACCGGGAGTTACATCAATTTACGGTTTTTGCATGTTTTGGTTCTGCAGTCTTCTAGGCATCCCAGCCAGGGATTGGCATCAACGGCGGACGCCGTTGCCTGGAACGGGCCCAGGCATGATCCAAGCGATCAGTGACCGAACAAATATCGGCAATAGTGAGGAACAAGCAGTGGAGCATCCCAGGACAGGACGTGGGTTTTCTGTTCTCCGAGAGGCTGTTCTGGTGGCGGCCACTGGGCTGTGAGGCTGTCAACGCGGCATGCGACAAAATAGACACCGCCCCGAATGTGTCCGTTCGTCCGGGCGGAGGCAGACAATGGAGCCAGGAACGCCCAGACTCGCCGAGGAGCGGTATCTTTTACAACGAGTAGTCGCCTACGTGTCCTCGGCTGCTCGTGAAGCTCGGGCCGCTTCGGGCGGAGTTTGGATTCTGAGGAAGGGATGGTTGCGGCTGCAGGGAGTTTTGGATGTAAGGGTGAAGGGATGTAGACAAGGTTCGAGGTATTCTGGAGTTTGGGATTTGTAGTTAAACGGTTTAAGCTTTGGGAATAGGGTAAGCAGGTTATGTGGAGGCAAATCTTTGGTTGGAGTTCGGGGCCTGGTTTTTGTGGCTTTTGGATTGGATTCCTACGCGATGCTCCAGAGATACCTTTTGACTCAACAATGCTGAAGCAGGGTTATGATTCAAGATCCTCATCGCTGTGAAGCAGACATACTACCAATGGACAGCATCATGTTTCCTAACACTCAAACTAGACGCTACATACGACCATAAATGCAGCTGCTCCTTAAGCTCGCAAGAACAATACGCTCACCGCTTCCAGCTATCCTGAAATCTCAGCCAGTGCGCAGGTCAGGGGCGCAAAAATCTGTCCCAGACAACGTCTTCAGCAAGAGGGTCGCTCTAACTGTTGAAACCTAGTGCTTCAGGTTTCGAGTTCACGGGTTGGGATTTGGGATTCAGGGCTTTGCATTGAAAGGCCAGGGTTCAGGGTGTGGGTTCAAGCTCGCGTTGGAGAATGTTCCGAAGTCTTCAGTGTCTCTTGCCCAGTGAGTCCAGTGCTTGTTTGGGCACGAGTACATGTAGATGTAGACGTATAATTATGTTGGTCTGCGTGTCTGCTGCATCTGCAAATTCAGATCTGTTTACCTACTCATATATGCATATATATATATAATATACACCCAATCAGAGCAAACATGCAATGACGCATCATGCGGTATTCGGCCGACAAAGGTCACCTCTCCCAGTCCTGCAGTCGTCCTCACACATGGCTGATCTACCCAAAGGCTCCATAGTTGTTCCTTTCTGGGGTTCATATTTAGAAGTCTATAAGGTAATACCAAAAAGGAACTACTATGGAGCCTCTGGGTAAGCAGCTGTCGCGAACCTGAAGCGGAAATGATAGATATCCATAAACCCTGAACGAACCTCGAATCGTGAACCTTAAATGCATACTTCAGTCGAGCAGGTAGGCCCGTGAAGGACAATTTCCCAGAGAGCACGGCAAGCCTGAAATACGACAAATCCTCAAGTTCTATCGGCTTCCTAGCCTTGGACCGAGTCTAAGGAGAATTCCTTCCTACATTCAGACGTGTTGGGGCTTTCTGTGTGCCTGTTCTCTTTGGCTGGATGCCCGCACGAGCATGTAGTACAATGGCGTGATTGAGAACATGAAGGCGTGCGTATTTCCTGACAGCGGATGTTGGTCTTGTTCGAAACACCTGCTGGTTTCACGGAGCACGGGATTGAGGATTGGCGCCTTCCTTGCCTTTGGACTTGCTGTATTACAGCCCTTCTCAAACAAGGCAGCCTAATTAGCTATTTAGGCCTCCACATTCGTGAGTCTAGGCTTTGAGCTTTGTCGTCAAGCCGCCCTCTCCTGCAGGCGGGGCAGCGGCACATGCCTGGCCGCCAAGAGTGCAGTGTGTACTCGGTCGGACCATGATGGCTTCTTCTCACAATCAGGGATGCTTAATCGGGAGTTGAAGCATCCTACTATTTAGGGTTTTTATACCAGGTTTGACCTCTAGCACGATGATGCACGTCTACTTCCCATAACTTCTCTAGCACAAGTCAGCTGAAGTTTCAAGTCTGGACACCTCAACATGGCCTAAACCCTCAGGCCTAAACTTACACTGATGCCTTTAGCATAGGAAAACTGTGCACAGATTCATCCCGTTGAGTGGGAGCCTTTACTCCGAGGTTCTGGGCTGCATGCTTGGAAGGCCAAGAAGATGGGAAGCACTACGTTCTCGCCCGGGGCCCGAATGAGGCTTGAAATATACTTAGCGAAACTTGGTGGAGTTGCTTTCTCGGCGAAGGGGTGCTTCGCTGCAGTCTTCAGCCAAATGGCCATCTTGACAGATCCACATAGAGTTTGACACTAGTACGCACGGATATGCCCCGCTGGGAGCTCAGGGTTGGGGCTACCTACCGTGATCGTTTATGAGCCTGGCGCGAATTATTTCTCAGGTCGGGGCTGTCCCAGGCATGCTGACGGAGCATTTCTTCGTCGCGAAGGCAAGGAATCCTACGACTGTTGGTTCTTGCATTGGTAATGGCGCTAACGAGGGCAGCCCTAGCTCTGCAGGCGTCGGAGCCCGAATGAAAATGTTCTGAGCAACCCAAACTTTGCACAAGAACGTCAAGGTGCGAGTCATTCAGCTGATGGACACAGTCCTGCAATACGCACACTAGCGAATATACAGAGGTGGCACAGGACGTTGCAACATCAATCACCGCAAAAGTTGAACCTGAGCAAGTGCATCAGTGGCCTAGTGAGGGTTTTTAGAATGGCGAGATACAGGTATCTTCCGTGCAAGCAGGCGTAGATTAAGAACGGATTCAGATTCGTTCATTCTCGTCATTATCGCAAGTCAGTATTGAAGTATATTGAAGTCGTGAATGTCCTGGCTACTAGCTGAGTTAAAAGCTGAAAAATTGGATCGAGCTCGGACCGGCATCACTAATCTAGAACAGTTTATCAATATTCCAAACAAAATACACACACACACACACACATTTCCCAAAATACCACGTCCTTCAATGCAGCTGAGTTTCTTCATCGTCCGACGCAGTACGGTCGACTTGGTCGAACCGTTCAGCATGTCATCCAAGTAAGTCTAGCTTCCAGTCACGCTTCAGCGTGCGGTTCTGATGCTCGGGACTCAAATCTGCATGTTATAGTGCGGTTTGAGCACCAGTAGCTTTCAAATCTGTGCTTGCACTGCCACAGGTGACACGCCCTCGGCCTTTGACCAATGTTGGCCACTTGACAGCTCAGCGAGTGGTGACTGCAACAGGACTCTGAACAAGACTACCGCGATTCGTCAGATATTCCAGGGTCCAGCAGAGGTTGTAAGTAGGAGCTATTCTATATATACTATATATTATATACCATATACGATATGTGTATATATACACGATATACTCTATACTATCTATACATGTATATATATATATACAAACAAAGTCAAGTTTACCCTTCGGATGCTTGGTCTGGCGAATGGCAGTCAACCAGCAGATCAGGCATCTCCGGCAAACTGGTTCAATCCGAGCTAGCAAACCTGTTACCCGGAAAGCCGCAAGCCACAGAACCTTAAACCCTCTTGCCTTCACAAACCCGAAGCACTAGCGCTTCAGGGGTGGTACCAATTCCTCATCCGTGCGAGTGAAGCAGCCCAATGGGTCGTAATCAAGCAGCGAGCCCAAGATATCTCATCCGAGATATCCTTCAGAGAAAGCCTTGCAAATAGTTTGCTGTTTGTTAAGGGCCTGCCTGACAGGTTCAAGCCTCGCAGAACCTGGCCCCGCAAACCAGGAAATGCAATGTCCTCTAGAGGGCTCTCGCGTCGCGCCGCAACATGCTAACGTCAGGGGCGAGAGACTGGAGCCTCCTGAAGTGTTCACGTGATTCATATATACTTATTTATGTTTTGATGTCTGTAGTATCTATTTGTGTACTTATACATATAATACGAGGATATGATAATAAGTATGCACCTGCCGAATCCTGACAGTCGTTTTGGCTGCCGAGCGACAAAGCGAGACCAAGCTGCCCCAAAGTGCTTCCCTCTCCGGAGACTAGGCATCGATTATTCGGCGAAGTGACAAAACCATTCTATCAGACAAAGCCCCCCCAAAAATCCTGAGATCAGCCCTTAGACTCTAAGACTCGCAACCGAAACGAGGGTTCGGCTTTCTACCAGCACCTGGCGAGGGAAC